TCTCTCTCTCTCTCTCTCTCTCTCTCTCTCTCTCTCTCTCTCTCTCTCTCTCTCTCTCTCTCTCTCTCCAACCTGTGCTGTGTCTGGGACCATGGCGCCACTTATGGAGGTACCAGTAGCAGGACGATCCGAGCCTGGTGGAACCACTAGAAGAAAAAAAAAGCAACGCTAGGGACGTGATTGCAGTTAGATACATTCTTTGAAGTGCTTGTGTGAGCATGCTCTCACTGAGGGCATCTCAGCCCCATGCGTGAACCTGCAAAGTAGGACGCTCATTCATGACAACACAATCACATGACAATCATATTACAATGTAGGACACAAGTAGTGGAGGGAGAAGACACCACAAGTCCGACAAAATCCGAGCACAGGTGCGTGCCTCGATGTAAAATGAAAACGATTGACCTATGAAAACGATGACATACGAAAACGATTGACATATGGACGCATGGGTTCCGCGACCCGACACTGCGTTTCGACCGGTCGCCAGCCGCTCTTCCTCAGGGGTCAAATCTGGCGCAGATGAAAGTAACCTCAATCCTACCCTACTCATCAAAACTTACTCTCACAAGTGGGACTCAGTTCCCAAATGACAAACTCGTCAGAACCCAGGACCCGCGGCAAGGTCCCACTTGCGCAAATTAGGAGATTTCGACCGTTGATCTTTGCTATCTACGGTCAGTATCTCTTAATTCGTGCACGTGGGACCTAGCCCCCGGTAACTTCCTCGGACTAAGTCCCGAACCTGGAACCAGTTCATAGGTGCTCACTGGGCCCTTACCGTACACGGGCCTTGTCCGCACATTTTACTGACAATTTCCATCCGTACACTGGCCCCTTACGGTACATGGGCCTTGTCTGTACATTCTACTGACAATTTCCATCCGTACATTCTACTGACAATTTCCATCCCCTGAAGCACCTGGCCCAACATCTCCACAACCCATTAAGCCTCCTCGAGAGGTTACGAAGTACTTGGTTGACATACGGATTCGGGAATCCTCTTAGTCTCGACTCGACTCCACTTCGAGGGTCAAAAGAAAACAAGCCTCAGCTCCCGGCATACTGT